CCGGGCAAGCGGCGTTTTTACGAAACGGCCCTGGGCGTTTACTGCACAGCCCTGCCCTGCTTGATGCTTTCTTTGGCCGCGCTTGCTAGACGGCTTCGCGTGTCGGGGTGGTCATGCTCGGGGTGGATGTTCTGCCCTCCAGGGTCGGGGGAGGGGGAGGGCTTCTTAGAGGCACCCCATGCGGTGGTTCTCAGAAGGCGTGGGCCTGATCCAGAGATGCACGGCCGACGCCTCCTGAGGAGCGGCCTCCTTCTCAGAAGCCTCCCCCCTTCCCTCCACCCCCTTTGTGCGCGCCGCCAAGTTATCAGGAGGGAAACAAAACACACAGACACAATTAATCGTCGATTCCCCAGAAAATATGGGAAAATATCGGAAGTGGGGGGGAAGACAAAAACCCGGAAAATATACGAAAATATGGGGAACCTGGTTATTTGTGTGTATTTTTGTGTGTGTGTGTGTGTGTCCTTGGGCCCCTTCAAGTTAGGGGGGGAACAGGCTCGAGGCTTTGTGGAGTTTTCGTAAGCTTTCGGCGCGGACGTTTCTGTTGGTTCTCGGCGGCTTTCCATCTCCGCCCTGCTCAAGTCGTGACCCCCTTCCCAGACAGGCTCGCGTCGTGAGCAGCTCGCGACGGGGAGATCTTGCTGGGCCTGTGGGGGACGGGGATCGGGACCTCCGGGGGGCCCGCATTGACAGGGCTTGTTTCGATTTCTCCGGCTCGATTTGACTTCGATGGCCTCCGATTCCGATTCGATTCGGCTCGGGATTCCGATTTGGGTTCCGATCTCTCATGGGATGCCGACTAGCCTGCCGATATCCGCCGATTCGGCTTTTTCCGACTCGGCTGCCGATTTCCGCCGATCCGATGTATTTCGATCGCCGATCCGATTGATCGATTCGATTATGGGCTCTCCTGCGCATCGATAAAACAACACTGGATAGGCGCTACCCCAACATACTTGTGCTAGGTGTGCGTCGCCCCCTCCCCAGGGGCGACAGAGCGCCCCGAGAGATCTTGTAGTATCTGTGTCGTGGCGGGTGCTTCCTGGCCACACCGCTCGGGAAACGATATGCTACAAGATGGGAGCACGATGTGTTCAGATCGGACGCGCGCCTCCCAGGAGGACGCACCCATAGTGGTATCAGCATGCCTCTGTGCGTCCCGTTGGATGTCTGGCCTCGGGCTGCCCACCCGGGGCGCTCCAGGAAGGGCCTGGCCGTCGAGGAGTCGAGGAGCTGTTGCCTCTTAGTTTCCTTCCTTGACGGGGAGGGCGGCGGAGGCTTCTAGATTCGAGCCTCGGCGGCTTGAGCCACTCTTCGACATGATGCCACTCTTTGACATGAACTAGAGCCAGGCATTAATCAATCGCGCATCCACAGCTTGAGAGCTCTTTGGTTTCATCGTGCCTCCACCCTCAGCTCCCTGACATCATCTTAGGTTTCAGCCCCCGGGGCCCCTGGGGGGTTCCATGAAGCATCGGCTGTGACGTACCCTTGGCCGCAGTCCAGCCTGACCAGCCTCAGCCCCGCCTGGTCTCGCTGACTCCTGCCTAGCCTGGTCCAGCTTAGTTCTTGGCCTAGTCACTAGTCTGTCTTGCTCCGGCTCTGCACCCCCCTCATCTGTCAAGATCGCTTCCCAACCCTCAAGGGAGGAACAACAATCTCCGACTCCCCACACCTTGCGTTTACCAGGAGCCCCAGGCGTTTGCGAACTAGTGCTGAAGGGCTTCGCTTGCGGAGGTGCTCATTAGGAGGATGGCTGTTCTGCCCTTGCAACCATTCGGTTGAAAAAGACAAGCGGTGTAAACATAGACTGAGAGGTCCGCGCTGATGGCCTGGATCGGCGCTAGACTCCCTCCTCCCCAGCGGAGCACGCAAGGGGCGGCTCAGGGGGGCCCAGCTGCGTCCGAGCCAGAAGCTCGTGCAGACCTCGACGGTCTGCGAGTCTGCCGTTCTCTCTTCTTCTGCTTTCTCCGCCGGCCCCGCCCCTCGTCCCCAGGCCAGTGCGCAAGAACCGGCCCTGGGCCCGGGAAGAGCCCGGCCGCGATCGCCGAGGTGGCCAGCCGCCGCCGCCCGACTCGAGTCGCATGAAAGGGGGTGGACAAGGAAAGAGCGGGTCACGAAATACGCTGCGTGCAGCTGCTTTCGGCCCCGCCGCCGGGCGCGTTCCTCCACACAGGTTCCACGTCTCGGGCGCCAGAAGGCGCCAGGGAAAGCGGCCACACGAGCTGATGTGCCAGGCCCCTTTTTGCTAACTGCTACCCCGCCTTCTCGTCCGACGCCGCCAAAATCTCTGCCGCCCCGGGCCAGCTATCGGCGAGGTAGCAAAGGAGGAGGAGGAGGAGGAGGAGGAGGAGGAGGAGGAGGAGAGGAGGAGGAGGAGGAGAGGAGGGGAGGAGGAGGAGGGAGGAGGGGAGAGGAGGAGGAGGAGAGGAGCAAAGGAGGAGGAGGAGGAGGAGGAGGAGGGGAGGAAAGGAGGAGGAAGGAAGGAGGAGGAGGTGCAGGAGGAGGAGGAGGAGAGACGCAGGACGAGGAGGGGAGAGCAGGGAGAGGAGGAGGCCCCGCCTCCCCCGCGCACCGGCAGGCCGAGGCCCGCGCCCCGCGCTGGAGCGCCCCGCGCCCGCCCGCGCGCGCTCCAGGCGCGGCCGGCGGCCGCCTGGTGGGGGGGGGGGGGGGCATTCTCGGGCCGGGCGAAAGTCAAACAGTGGCGAAGCGTCCGGGCTCGCCTAGAGCCCCACCAAGCAATGTGCTAAGAACCTTTTGTGGTTCCCACGAAATGTGCTTAGAACATTTCGGGCGGAGACTGTCTTGGTTCAACACATCGGGTGAATGTTCTGAGAACATTGTTTTTGTTCTTAGAACTTTTTTGGGTTCTAAGAACATTTCGTGGTAGGACTATAGGAATGCCAGGACGGTCGGTCCCTGCTCAAGAATGGGGGGGATAGGGCGCAGGGGGGGTTACGAAATCTGCTGCATGCAGCTGGTTTCGGCCCCGCCGCCGGGCCCATTCCTCGATACATGGGCGCCTCCCGGCTCCGGGAAAATCAGCTACGTGAGCTGATTCTCAACCCCCCCTTTGCTATCCCCCCCTTTCGCCCGGCCCGACATTCGGCCACGCGCAGGGGGGTGGTTGGGGGTTCAGGGGTCCCACAGTGGCCGCTGGCATGCGCCATCCCCCCTGCCGCTACCCCCCTTCGTGCGCGCCGCCGACCCACGGCGCGGGGCCGGCGGCGCTTCGGCGTGTCAGGGGGGTGCCCCCCGCGGGAGGCCCAGTCCCCCTGGCGTCGTTCAGGGGCAGCGGTCCCAGACCTCGTCGGTTTGGCGGCCGAGCCTGCCGAGCCGCGGGGGCGGCGCAGCTGCTGCGCCCGCCAGGAGTGGCGCTGCTGGCCGTTTCGTCAGGGCGTTCGTGGTGATCAGCGTGCGCGTCGGGGCCTTCGTGGGCTCTCTCGTGCCTGGGCTGGCGCGGTGGCTTCGGATTCTCTCACTGCCCTTCTCGCTCAGGTAGCCTTCTCCCCCCCCCCGCCGGTGATGACCATCATACGCCTTACTAGTGAGGGACCGCCACGAGACCTCACACCATCCGCAGCTTCCATCAGAGGGGCCGCGGGGGCAATTGCCCACGAACATGGCACCGCGCGTGCAGTGCCGTAGGTGGCGGCGGCTCGTCTTCCCATCCCACAAACAGATGGGGATGCGCAGCCCCTGAAGACGGGACGGGGTGGGTACGAGTGGGCATCATAGCCGGCTCACAATCATAAGAGACATCACGGCCTCATCATTGACCGTTCCCTTTTTGGCATCAATTTCATTCGTAGCTGCATGCTCTCCCCTCGAGTCATCATCAAAATCACGACGGAATGTTTTTTCGCCATTTTCACGTACTTCTGGGGGCCCTTGCCAGGTCCCGGGGTCGTCAAGGAACGACTCAGGGAGAGAAAACGGTCTGGGGGAGTGGGTCGAGACCTCCGAGGGTCGACGCTGTGAGCAAAATCATGACGTCGGTGCCGCCGGAGGGTGCGGGGGCTCGCGCGTGCCCCGGCGACCTCATGGACGCCACGGGAGCAGGGAGAGGGGCAGTCGCCGAGCGCGTTCCACTACTCGCAAAGTGCCTACTAGCAGACGTCCGAAACATACACGTCTGCCTCGATGTAGTTTCGCGTAGATTTCCCCCGGCGGATGCAGGCCATTTGCGAGTAGCTACTTTGCGAGTAGTGGAACGCGCTGGTCGAGGCAGGGCGCCCCCGATGGCCAGAGCGCAGCAGATGTGCAGCCTGCGCCCGCTCCGCGTACCAAGGGCCCCTCGGGAGCCCGGTTCTGCGCCTCGGCCGGCTCGGTCGCGGGAGGCACAGGCTCAAGCAGTGGCGAAGCGTCTTGGCGTGCTTTATAGCCCCACCAAGCAATCTTCTAAGAACCGTTTGTGGTTTCCACGACATGTTCTTAGAACATTTCGGGCGGAGGCTGCTTTGTTTGAACACATCGGGTTTATGTTCTAAGAACTCTCTTTGTTCTTGGAACATTTTGGGGTTCTAAGAGCACTTCGTGGTAGGACCACAGGAATGCGAGGACGGTCGGTCCCTGCTCAACAAAGGGCCCCCTCTGGAGCCCGGTTCTGCGCCTCGGCCGGGTTCTGTCGCGGGAGGGACATGCGTGCCCCCCGGCCAAGGTGCGGTGCAGTCTTCGGGGCGGGGCACCGCGCCCGTGATGCAGAACGCATACGCGTAGAGCGTGCCCCCGTCTGTCTCTCTGGCGGTCGCTCTATCGTCCTTCAGGGTTTCGGCATGTGGAGAGGGCCGGGGCTTGGCTGGCAGCTCTTCACCTGTCAGCTCTCATCTCGTGGCTGCTGTTGAAAAGTCGTCCTTCGCCCTCCTTGCCTCTATTTGTTTTGTTCTCCCTCTCTTTTTGTTCCCTTTCCCTCCCTCTCTCTCTTTTCAGTCCTTGACGGTTTTCCTCGGGGAACGGGAGGCCGGGCTCTTTGGCTCTCTGCAGTCATCCTGGCTCTGGGGATGCAGTGGGCGCTTGACACGCTCACTGCGTACTCAGGGGCCTTCGGCTTCGTCGCTGTGTTTGGGACACACCTGTCTTCGTCCCAGCCCTGTATCTGCCACTGCGATTTTGGGCCAGATCGCGGGCTCCTGGACGTCATCCAGGGGCAGCTGGACCGCTGCACAGCGGCGGGGTTTGCGCCGGCGCCCGCGCGGCCGAGCCCGGAGACTGGCTGGACGGCAGCGTGGTGCTGGCTGCTCACGGGGCTGGTGCTCGGGGTCATAGTTGGAGTTCTCGTCGGAAGCTACCTCGCGCTCGCTGTTGTTGGACGGCTTGGCTGGCACGGAGGCGGCAGCAGGGCCATCAGTGACAGGCTCGAGACGCATCCTATTGTGCCAGGCGCCGAAGTTCAGACACAACGTCGGCCAGAGGTGGTGACACCGTTTAGTTCTCGTATCAATGGCTGAGACTCTGGACGCAGATCTGATCCAGGTGTGCATCGATTTCCCAGACGACCCGAACATTCGCTGGCACCACAGAGTTTTTTGTATGATTTGGGACCAGGACGGTGGGTAGCGAGTACACCTGACTTCGGGATCGAGGTAGTGGATCTCGCGAACCACCGTGTTGTTCCTCTGAATCGTGCGACACGCTGGCCAGAGCGAGTGCGGGGGAACGTGTACGGGTTCGACCCACTCAGCGAGGAACAGAAGGAGGATATCCATCTGAGGGGGCTGCAGCTCGCACGAGTCTTGGGGTACAAAGTCGCACCGAGTGCCTCGGCGGGAGCTGCGAGACGATGGAGAGTGTCGGACCCTGGGCACGTGAGGTTCAACAGTGAGCTCGAAGACGCCGACATGCTGCCAGGGAACCGAGCTGGTCAGAGGAGACTGCGGGCTCTACATCATCGACGAGGAAGAGGAGGATTGGGTGAGTGTGGAGCGTGTTCCTAATCGGCAGCTGGATGAGTGGTTGGAAAAGAAGAGGAGCGGGCCCGGCAGAGACATGTGGATCCATCCGATCCAGCGGGATAGTGCCGGGCGCCGCAGCGCATTGTTGAAAGAATCGGTCAACATGTTCAAGGTTCCGAAGTTCGAGGACTGGCCCTTCGACGGGCCGTCGGCGGCCGACGAGGTGCTGTCGGAGGTGGCGAAGGCGGGCCTCGAGCTGCACTTGTACCCTACGTGGTGGGAGAGCAAGAGCGGAGTGAACCCGCAGAGCAGCGTGGCTCGTGAGGTGCGGCTGTGCTTCGATTACCTTCGGTGCTTTCAGTCGTATGACCAGCTGAACCTTCCCGCGCTGTCGGGCGTTGAGCTGATCTGTCGCCGGGTCATCGTGTGCCAGCGGGCGGTCAAGAGGAACCCGAAGAATCCAGACTCCCCGGGGTTCGAGCGCTTCCTGCAAGCGTCCTTCGACGACAGCGGGGGGCTACGGACCTCGGAGCTCGACAAATACATGGCCGAGTCCCAGAAGACCGATGCCACGGTGCTGAAGCAGTTCAGGCTGTGGCAGGAGGAGCTCGAGGCGGACAAGAAGAGGCAGGCCGCCAAGCCAGGCGGCAAGTCGTCGTCGGGGTGATGACGTACGCGCCGGCGTCAGCCGCTAGGCCGTCATCGCGGGGCCCGGGTAATGCTGGCGCCGGCGCGTGTGAGGGCTCTGGCCCTCGCCTTCAGGACCGCGAAGTTTTGTTCCATACGGAGTCGTTCCCTCTCCCTCGGCCTGCCGACGAGCGAGGTGATCGCGCGGCCTTGAGCCGCTTCCAGACGGGTGCTGGGAGTCCTGACGAGCGTCGCTTCATGGTGACCAACGCTGTCAGCGCGCTCAACGGGCTGGCTGGGGCCCGTGCTGGAAGGCCATTGCAACTGCGACGGCCTGGGTATAAAGTCGGTGGCCCCTCTGATCCTCAACGGTCGATCTTGGGACGAGTCGCTCGGAGGGTGGACGACGTGTTTCCCGCCCCAGACGACTTCGATGCAAAGATTTTTTTCTCTATTGAAGTGCAAGGATACGTGCAAAGTTGGCGACGTGACCACTCGGGTGCCCATGGCGCTTGAGCGTTTGAAGATCATGAAGGGCGACACCACTCCGAAGGATGCCCTCAGCCTGGTGGGGAACGACGCGCACGAGCTACTACGAGACCCTGGGCGTTTCATCGAGCGTCCTCCGGACCATGATGACAGCCGAGGGGTTCCTCCACGTCCATATATGGATCCAGGGCTGAGGGGCAACTCATCGATGCTTCGAGAGCTGGTCAGCCGTCTTCGCTCGTCCGGACTTGTTGTGTACCGCAAGCGTGCGAAGTCATTCATTGGCCTCTTCGCGGTTCTGAAGAAGGGCGGCTGGTGGCAACGGCTGATCATCGACTCAAGAGTGCCATTTTTTTTCCATCGTCGGCCTCCTCACTCGTACTTAGCCACACCGGGGGCCCTCACTGGGTTGGATGTGTCGGCCGATTCGTTGGGAGTGCTGGCTCACGGCCTTCAGCTTTGCGGGTGCTCAGTGGACTTCCAGGACGGTTTCTACCAGCTGCGGTACCTCCCTCTCTCCGACTGGTTCGGCATCCCGATCAAGATCACCGCGGGGGAGGCCGGCATCAGTGACGTTTACGACAACGTTGACGGCCAGGACGTCTGGGAGCGAGTTGAGCCGGGCGAACGCGTCTGGTCATGCTTCTGTGGAGTGGCGATGGGCTGGTCGTGGGGCTTGTGCATCTGCCACTCGGCGCTGACCGACGGGCTGATCGTGGCGGTCGGTCGCATGATGGTTTGCAGCCGTGAGGTCGCGGAGCGACAGCTTGCTCGAGATGGCTTCCCGGCTCCGTGCCTCTCCAAGGGCCGGCCCGTCATCGCGCCCTACGTAGACAACGGGGGCGTGGTGTGCTACGACGTGGCCGACGCGAAGCAGGTGTACAAGGAGATGGTGGGCGAGCTGGTCTCGCGGGGGTTCACACTTCGGGACCTCGTTGAGTTCGACGAGGACCTGGACATGGTGGGCTTCGTGCTCAGCGGCTCCGACAAGTGCTGGAAGCGTCGGCGTTCTCGCTTCTGGCGGCTGTACGGTGGGGTAGGCCAGCTACTGGCCCGCGGGGGCTGCGCGGGGGATGTGATGCGCGTGGTGCTTGGGCACTTGGTGAACTTCTTCCTGCTCTCGCGGTGCTGCCTGAGTATCTTGCAGGAGTGCTACCAGTTCGTTCAGCAGAACATCGGGCGCTACCGGCGGTTCAGTGCCACGGTTGTCTCCGAGCTTCGCGCGTGCCAGGGGGCGTTGCCGCTGGCGGTGGCGAGGCTCAGCGACCCGTTCTACGAGAAGGCCTTCATCAGCGACTCGTCCACCCACGGCCACGCGCTTCACCAGGGCTACTTCAGCGGGGCCGAGCTGCGGAGCGTTGGCCGCTGGAAGGAGCGCTGGCGCTTCGCCGACGAGGAGAAGGCTTTGGGTCTCGGCCTTGAAGCTAACGGGCCAGGCCTCGACGCCGACTTCGATTGCCTGGGCGAGTCGTTCGATCTGGACGAGGTGCCGCGGGGTTCCCCACTTAGGCCAGCGGCCGTGGGAGCCGCCGGCGCCCTGCCGAGGTCGGTGAAGCCCGAGGTGATCACTGGCATCGTGCCGGCGTTGCCCGACGAGCTGCTGGACGGAGCCCGCTGGTCCAGAGTGCTGGTGGGGGCCTGGGGCCGGCGGGAGGCGATCCACATGAAAGAGTGCCGTTTCTCGCTGGCAGGGCTGAGGCACGCGGTCGCGGACCCCCGAGCGCCCGGATGCCAAGTCCTCTCGGCGGGTGACAACCTCTCGGAGATCATGGCGACCGAGGAGGGGAGAGCGGTCGACCACGGGTTGAACGCGCTCTGCCGTCGAGCAGCTGCCCTCCAGCTCGGTGCGGAGATCCGCTGGGTGAGGAGGCATGTCGAGTCGGAGCGCAACCCGACGGACGCCGACTCCCGCCTGGCGGACAAGGGCGTCCTGAAGGCGGGCGAGGCGCTGCGGCCTGGCCGCCTGGCCGGGCGGCTGCGAGCGGCGGCTGCCAGCCGGGCGGCCGCGCCGGCGCAGACGGCCGAGGGCAAGTGCCCGAGCCGCTCACGGAGCGAGCGCCAGACGAGGAGGCCGTCGGGCATCCTCGAGTTGTTTGCCGGCTGCGGACGCCTGTCTGGAGCCTGTGCGCAGGCCGGCCTGCGCATCTTGTGTCCGATCGATGTTGCGAACGGAAAACACTTCGACCTACTCAACTCACGTGTTCAGTGTAGGGTCATCCGTTGGATTCGAGAAGGAAGGGTTTGGCATGTTCACCTGACTCCGCCATGTACCCGCTGGTCCCAAGCAAGATCTACTGGCTCCGAGGACTCCAACGAGGTCACCAGGGGCCAGGAGTTGGCGCTCTTCAGTTGTCGTCTTCTACGGGCATGTCGTCAGCGCGGGGTCATGGTCTCGGTGGAGAACCCGGCCTCGTCTGGGATATGGTCCTACGAGCCACTAAAGAGGGAGCTCCAGAAGTGCTCGTGCAGTCCTGTCAGGTACGACGCGTGCAGGTACGGGGCCCCGTTCAAGAAGCCTACGAGATTCTTTACTAACGCGGTCTCTCTCGGGGCCCTGGAAAGGAGGTGTAACTGCCGAGTCCCCCACGAGATCCTCGAGGGCAAGGTCAAGGTCGAGTGCCCAAGCGGTCGTCCTGCTTGGCGTTGGAAAACATCTTTGGCCGCAGCCTATCCGCCTGGTGTTTGCCGCGTGCATGCCGCTGGGCTCGAACAGGCTGCTCCGCCCGGGGCGTTTCTTCGAGCGGGGGAGCCAGTGCACTGCCAGTCTTGTGCCGATGAGCTGGCGGGCGAGGTCGGGGTCGCCCCGCCGACGTGTCCACGGCGGTTTGCTACTGGATGGGAGCTCGCGACAGGACACGCCATGTGCGGGTCCAGTGCCGAGAGGAGGCGGCAAGCCATCGCTGCTCTCGGCTTCGCGGGCGACCACCAAGCTGCTGACCACTGCGGGCCTCCCAGCGCCAGGCTCGACCGACCGAGGCTCGGGCGAGCCGAAGGCGGACGCCCTGCGCTCCGACCGAGCACGAGCGAGGGCCACCAGAGCAGGAGGCTCTCGGAAGGAAGGGTGCTTGAAGAGCCGCTTGATCTCCGCCAAGACCTTGCGTGTGCACACCGAGGCAGCGAAGCTGTTCTACCTGTTTTGCAAGAGCGTCATGATGCCCACCACCACGTACCAGGAGCTGGACGTGGCCATGGAGCAGTACCTGCACAAGCTGTATTTCGATGGGGAGACGATCTCTGGACCCATGTACGAGCAGAACCTCACGTGGTCAAAGACGTCGGAGTTCCCGCTCACTCGGAAGGCCCTTCAAGGCTACCGCAAGAGTTCGTGCAGCGTGTCGCGGGATGGCGCCCCTTGGGAGTGCGCCATCTTTCTGGCGGGTTTCATGGCCCGGCACGGCACGAGCGAGTCGGTCCAGGCGGCCGGCCTGACCCTCCTCATGTGCGACACCTATCTGAGGATCTCGGAGGCGATCTCGTACGTTGGGTCGGGACCAGGCTATCCCTCCCCAAGCTCGCTCAGGCCCTCGGAGCTTCTACTCCCTCATCGTTGCACCGAGGGAGCTCGGGAAGCCGACGAAGGCGGGTGCCTACGACGACACGGTTCTCGTTGGCGAGACGGCACCAGAGCGCAGGCCAGTCCTGCGAGCGATCCTGGTCCAGATCCTGAAGGCCGTCAAGCCCGGGGAACACCTTCCCAGACCTCACCGCCCAGAAATACGAGCTGATCTTCAGGCGGGCCTGTCAGGCCTTGAACTTCGGCGACCTCAAGCAATGTCCACACAGCCTCCGACATGGAGGGGCCTCAGTCGACGCACTGAACGGGATCGACACCCTCACGATCCAGAAGCGTGGTCGGTGGAACGTCATCGCTTCCTGCCGACGATACGAGAAGAAGGGCCGCATCTTGAAGCAGCTGTCCATTCTCGGCCAAGCCCGCGTGCAGGAGTCCGCGGATGAGCTGGCATGGCTAGTGTCGAGGTTGCCCCAGCTGCTCTGTTCTGTTCTCAAAGATAGGAAGAATAGTGCTTGATATTGTGAATGAGGTTACCCACCCACCCACCCGTAGGCCCCAGGGGATCCTGGAGATTGCGGGGAGCTGTTGGCTCACGAGCGTTGCGACAGAATTCTGTGTGATATTTGCCCTTTGGTTCATTTCACGATTTGATGTATCTGTGAATGCTCTCGTGCTTGTACGTGCCTGTAGGCCCGACCCGTCTGAGTAAAACATGTTGCCAGTCTGACGGGTCACCTTGAGGGTTGTATAGCGGGCACTCCGCTTCCCTACCCCGGCCGCCTAGTGTATCGAGGAATTCAGTCCTTGCCGGTTTTCCTCGGGGAACGGGAGGCCGGGCTCTTTGGCTCTCTGCAGTCATCCTGGCCCCTCCCACCTCCCTCTTCGACTTTTTAGCTTCTTTGCATTGCATCGGGGAGCTGTTGGCTCACGAGCGTTGCGACAGAATTCTGTGTGATATTTACCCTTTGATTCATTTCACGATTTGATGTATCTGTGAATGCTGTCGTGCTTGTACGTGCCTGTAGGCCCGACCCGTCTGAGTAAAACATGTTGCCAGTCTGACGGGTCACTTTGAGGGTTGTATAGCCTTTCCGGGCACTCCGCTTCCCTACCCCGGCCGCCTAGTGTATCGAGGATTCTTTCTCTCTCTCTCACTCTCTTTCTCTCTCCTGGAGGGGTCGGGCATTCGTCTGTCTCCATAGGCTGTGCCAGCGGCAGCGGCGGGCATGGAGTTCCGCGGGAACCCGTCGGATGGAGGAGCGAGGCGAACCACTTTGCCGGCGCAGGCTCGGGAGGGAGTGGGCGAAACCGAAGCAGCGCACATGGCCCGAGAGAGAGAGAGAGAGAGGGAAAGAGCGTTGCGCTGCAGGCGCGCATGCTGGTCGTCGGCGCGGGCGCGGCCGTCGGCGGGCTGATCGCCGTCGCGGCGGCCGAAATCGGCGGGCTGGTCGCGCCGGGGCTCGTCTTTGTCGTCGTCGTCGCCGTCCCCGTCCCACCCGTCCTGAAAGTTTTCGGGCTCTTGCTGTTGTTACTGCCATGTCTTGGCCTTCGGTTGCCTTCCCCTCCTCCTCCTCCTCCTCCTCCTCCTCCTCCTCCTCCTCCTCCTCCTCCTCCTCCTCCTCCTCCTCCTCCTCCTCCTCCTCCTCCTCCTCCTCCTCCTCTTCCTCCTCGAGGATGTTGGTCGCGCTCGATCCCGCTGGGGCCGCTGGAGGCGTCCGAAAAGAGGCCTCCAGAGACCTCGAGTCGAGAGCCGGGGCAGAGTCCCCCTCCCTCTTCCTCTTGGCCCTCCCCCTCTCACGAGGGGGAGGGGTGCTCGGCTGCTCGCGGGGGCGTGGGGGGGAGGGAGGAGGGCGGACGGGAAAGCGCACGGGGACGGACCCAGACCCCCCGACCCCATGATTTTTTGTCACGGTTGACCCCTGGAGGTCTCGACTCCTCCCTCCTCCTCCTCCTCCTCCTCCTCCTTCTCCTCTCCCTCCTCCTCTCTCCTCCTCCTCCTCTCCTCCTCCTCCTCCTCCTCCTCCTCCCTCCTCCTCCTCCTCCTCCTCCTCCTCCTCTCCTCATCCTCGTTCTCCTCCTCCTCCTCCTCCTCCTCCTCCTCCTCCTCCTCCTCCCCTGGAGGTCTCGACCCATTCCCGGGGACCAGTTTCTCATCCCGAGTCGTTCTTTGGCGGTCCCGAGGCCCAGCAAGGGCCCCCAGAGGCCAAACGTATCGGAAAACCTTCCGTCGTGATTTTGTCATGATTCGAGGGGGTGGTGGTCTGGGGAGGGAAGGGAGGTGTGAGAGCAAGCCAGGGGGGGGGACGGCCCTGGGAGGGATGGAGAGGGGGAGGGGGGTCTCAGAAGGGCGTGCGGAGGGCGGGTACACGGCGCCTCGAAGAGAATGGCATAATGATGAAGCCCCGTTCGTCGAAAGAGATTCGCAGACCCACTCCTGGGAGGAAGTCAAATATGCCAATTCCCAGTTTTGAAGGGAGCACCTTCGGAGCCGCCCAAGAGAAAGAATTTGGAAGTGCATGTAGAGCAGCGCACATGTAGAGTTAAGGTCCCGTGCCGAGAGAAGTCAATACCTTTCCCGAGCAGGGTCCACAGTAGACAAATACATCCAGGGTAGGAGAGCATGTGAAGCGAGTACATGTCGGCGACCCTCGGGGAAACAGAAGACGGAGCGTATTGTTGTGCCAGTGGCGCCCCCCCCCCACCCAACAGCATCAACAAGAAAGCCCTGCGGCCCAAGGTACGAAGCACTTGTGCTAGCATATGTGTAGTCTTTGACGGGGAAGGGGGGATGGCGCCCACTCGCCCGGGGGGTCACATTGATTTGCATATTTGTTTACGAGTCAGGTATGTTTGCAGGCGTGGACATCAATTAATGAGCTCTTGTACTTTGGATGTGTAGCACATGCGGTGAGGACATTGTGGTGCACTATGGGATGCAACGTCATGTGGTGGAAGGTGTGTGCTACACGCTTCGTTGTGAAACTGATGTAGTGCAAACTGTGGCGCGCAATCCAGGTTGTGCAGTGTATGGGATGCAAACATCGTTGTGCAGACCTTGTGGCGCCATCTATGTGGTTCATAAAATCTGCGACGCGCCTTTGAGGCGCCCGGCGAACACCTGGACATCGCAGCCAGTGCACGAGGCGCCCACATGACGCCCACGATGCGCCCGCTGGCGGGCACTGGCCAACAAGAAACGAAAACCCAGCCAGCGCCGTCCCACGCGCCCACGTGCCCGCCTTGGGCTAGAATCCAGAAAACCCAACCAGCACGGGGGCGACCTCGAAAAGTCACCAGCGGGCGGGTGCCGGCCGAGCAAATTGGAAACCCAGCTGCTGATTCTCGAACAGGGTAAGGGCCTGTAGTAATTAGTGCAAAACTCTTCAGAGAATTGTGGCCTTACGCGAAAGGGTTTGCACCTTGCGTTCTGCCTGGGAGGGCGGTACCGCTCGTGATTGTGATCCAGCTGCCTGCGGCTAGTCCTGCCACCGTGCCAGCCCAGCATTCTGGGTGGCGCCTGTTTGAGAAGGCACGGGAAGCCGTCACGTGTGACACCTCGTGTCTCCAGGCTTCAGAGAGCCGTGATGATGGGGATTATCATGTTGAGAGTCGTATGATTAAGATGGTGATATTGACTCAGTTGGTGGTGATGGCGATGCTAAAGGCAATGGTAACGGTACTGGTAATGATGATGTTGATGATGATGTTGATGATGATGACGATGATGATGATGATGATGGTGATGGTGGTGATGATGATGATGACGGTGCTAGTGATTGTGATGGTGATGATGGTGTTGTTGATGGTGACGTTGGTGTTGATGTTGCTGGTGCTGGTGATGCTGATGCTGATGATACTGATGATACTGATGATGCTGATGATGATGACGATGGTAATGCTGCTGCTGGTTGTGATGACGCTGACGATGATGGCGGTGCTGATTGCCAGGATGCTGTTGTTGTTGATTGCGATGCTGGTGCTGGTGATAATGATGATGATGGTGGTGCGCTAATGTTGGTGCTAGCGATGATGTTGATGGTGATGATGGTGGATAGGATGGTGATGGTGATGGTGATGTTGGTGGTGATGATACTGATGATGATCATCATCCTGATGATGATATTGGTGACGATGTTGGTGGTGGTGATGATGATGGTGATGGTGATGATGTGATGATGACGATGGTGACGATGATGATTAGGATGCTGCTGATGATGCTTATGGCGATGCTGATGATGAAGATGATGATGCTGATGCTGATGCTGATGCTGATGATGATGATGATGATGATGATGATGATGATGATGATGATGATGATGATGGTGATGGTGATGGTGATGGTGATGGTGATGGTGATGGTGATGGTGATGGTATGGTGATGATGAGGTGGAGGAGGAGGAGGAGGAGGAGGAGGAGGAGGAGGAAGGGGAAGGCCGTCACACGTGACACCCTTCGCCTTCACTATTTCAGGAGCTCTCATAGAACTCGTTCGGGCCGTCCTGTGGCTGTCTTGGCCTCCTGTAAGGCAGTCTTGTGGGTTTCTTTCGACCATCTTGGGCGGTCTTGGGGCCCTCTTAGGCCGCCTTGGGGGTGCTCTTGGGCCGTCTTGGGGCCCCGCTGGCAGTATGCTGGGTGCTGGGGTGCCGTCTTGGCGACGCCTTGGGCAATCGAAGGGCCTTCCAAGGCTGCCTTGGGTCCCACTGGAGGCCCTCTTGGAACGTCTTGGGCCCGTCTTGGACGTCTCCTGGTCCCTCGTGGGGTCCTCTTGGCCTATCTTTGGACCCTCGTGGGGGCGTCTTGGACCTTCTTAGTGCCATCGTGGAGGCTCCTTGGGCGGGCCGTCTTGAGCTGCTGACGCAAGCCCGAAACGGCGTGAATTCGGAAACCTTTACAACAACCGAAGAATACGACCACAGGACATCAATGGTTTGGGCATCTTCGGGCCCTGTTGGAGGTCCTCTTGGGGCCCTTTGGCCACTCTGGGAGGCTTCTTGGGACGTCTTGAGGCCATGCTCAGCCGGCCTTGGGGCCATCTTGGCCCGCCTTCGAGGCATCTTGGGCCATCTTTGGTTGCCTTGGCGCCCTGCCTTGGCCGTCTTGGAAGCTCGGGGCGCGGACAGATCGTTTCTGCTACGAGGGATCGTGGCCTCGGCAGCGAGGCGTGGGCGGTCCCCTGCTTGCCTACAGAAGCCCCACGGAGCAGCTCCTGGCATTCTAGCACGCCCACATCGTCAAGATGGTACGTCTTTCAAGCTGCTCGGAGTTGTCTTCGACCCACGTCCTTTAATGCGCGAAGCCATCCAGGCTTGCGTTAGAAACTACGGATGGTAATTGCGGCGTGTAGTGCGAAGCCCGTCTTTTATTCATCTGCAGATTTCATATTATTGTTCAAAGCCCAGGCTTTATCTTAGATCACTCTCCCCCTGCCCGCTCCGCCTCACCTGGCGGACTCCGTGCGTCCACGGGCGGGGCCCCTGTGGGCCAGCTCATTCTCGTGGTCTGAGTTGGCTTCGGGCTGGCATCCCGGCCCTCTTGAGCCGACTCGCTTCTGCAAGCCGGCGGTGGCGAACGTGGCCTGGATCAGAAGGGAGGCGCCACCCGCCGCACCTCCCAGCCTGATCGCTGCTTGTGCAACGCAGACGTCGTTCAGTTCGGTGTCCAGCAGATCCTCCCTTTCCTCTTTATCCTCCTCGGCGGAGGCCAGCAAGACGCTGGCGGAGGTGGGCGCCGTTGGAGCCGCCCTGGGCACCCTCGTTGCCTTGCAGCTGCCGGCTTCCGCGTCGTGCTGCGGGGTGGCGCAGGCCGCGCCGCAACTCCTCCCCCTCCTGTCGCTGTGCCCCGCTTCCTCTCCCTCCCCCCTCCCCCTTCCCCCCCACTCCTCTCCCTCCTCTCTTCCTCCCTCATCGTCTCTCGCCCCCCCCCCACCCATCCTCCCCGTGCATCTCTCTCCCCCCTTTTCCGCCTCCCCCTCCCCCCCTCCTCCTTCCCCGGTCCTCCGCACCCTTGCCCTCGTCCTCTCCCAGCCTCCCACTTCCTCTCCCCACCTCCTCTCGCCCTCTCCCGACCAGCACTGGGCTGCGTGCTGATGGCTGGCTACCACAGCCTATCACCGTGGGTTCCCAGCCCCGCGTGGGGAGCGACCCTCCCCCTGCGGGGGCCCAGCGCATATCTCCGCGACGGCGTCGTCCGCCACGTCGGCTGTGTTGACGCGGAGGCCCTCTCGTGGACACCCACGGCGCCGGCGTGCTCGCCAGTTCTAATCGTTGGGCGTCGCGTAATGGGGAGGCGTTTAGGGGGGGGGGCAGCGAGGGCTGCACTGCAGAAAAGGGGCCCTTCAGAGCCCCAAGGGGGGCTCTTTAGGGCCCACAACGGGGACTTCAGGGCTCCCTCGTGAGCCCTAAAGGCTCCTTTTCCCCCCCGCGATAAATGGGGGGGAAGAAGGGGCCTTTAGGGCCCCTTTCTTCCCCCCCACATATCGCCCCCATTAAGCGACGCCCGAGATCTTTTCCTCCGCCACACGGCCTGTCGGTCAAGAGTGCCCTCCACCCCGCTTGCGAGGCCGCCTCCCCCCCCGTGCCCCTCCTCTCCCTCCCCCCTTCTCCCTGGCGCCCCGTCGCCCCCTGCCAGCCTCCCCCACCCCGCTTCCTTCCGTCTCCCTCCGCTCGACTGCCGTCCGTGGCGCCCGTCCCGCTTTCGGGCGGACGGCCACTGGGCCAGGACTGCGGGACGCTGCCCGGCCTCCTCCTCGCAGGCAGGGCCATGGTGGGGATCCTGTGGCGCGCCTTCCCCTCTCTCCCCTCCTTCCCCCCTCTGCTTCCTCCTCGCCCCCTACATAGCTGGGCCAGCCCCCCTCCCCCACTTCCACCACCCTCCCAGCACCCTTCCCCCACTTTCATCCCTTGTCCGCCTCTCCCCCGCTCCCCCTCCTTCCTGCCGGGGGGCGGGTGAGGAGGAAAAGGAGGAGGAGGAGGAGGACGACGAGGAGGAGGGGGAGGAGGAGGAGGGGGAAGAGAAGGAGGAGGAGGAGGAGGAGGGGGAGCAGGAGGCGGAGGAGGAGCAGGAGGACGAGGAGAGGCAGGAGGAGTGGGCGAGGGGCCATCCGCTGAGGGTGGTGCCGTTGGCCCGTGGGGTTCCACCAGTCCGATGCACCTTGCTCGATTCGCTCGTGGGGGCTCCAGCGGGTCCAGCCGAGCCCCAGCGGTGCTACGGTTAAGTCGGACCTGTCCCCCTACAGTGGGATTTTCGACGAAAAATGAAAAATACTTCCAAAATGGCCAACCAATAATCCAAAGATAGTCTGGGGACTATTTGTTGAGCATGTTTTGACCTTTTTGGAGCATTTGTTTGGTATTTTTCATTTTTCGTCCAAAATCCCTCTGATGGGGACACGCCCGACATAATGCTACGCTTGGCTGCCTCGATTCGCCCGTCTTGAAACGCAGTACGTGCCGAGCTCAAAACGTCCGTGCCGATACGTTGCGTGTTGGCTCAGCGCATTGGCCACGTTTTGGCGAGCGTCTCGCGTCAGAGCTACGTGTTTACTCCACGTGGTAAGCCCCGTATCAATACTCTACGTGTTGCCCGTGTTGCAAGTCGCGTATCGAGTCAGCGAAGATGCTCCGTTGTTCCAGATGGTCATCTTGCCTTACGTGTTTTGTTGAAGCAAGCATTCATGTGGTTATTGTGTGTGCCGTTCAGCGCTGTCATGGTACGTGTCCCACTGTTTGTTTGTCAGTTTGTTTGTTGGTTTTCCGTCCTTCGTTTCATGTTTTTTTTCTGGGGCTGGCTAGTTTCTCGTGTTCCGGAGAGCCCAGGCTTTGGACTCCATTGTTCGTTGGATTTGGGTCGCCTTGTTGAGGAGCCTGTTGTCGCTGCATTGGTGCCCCGGCCGCGGGTCGATGGGCCGCCATCCCCGTGTCACGGTGGCGAGGAGTCGGCAAGCGCATCCTTCATGCATGCGAGGGTGCAGGGCCGCACCCCCCATCCCCTCTCCCCCCTCCCCCCCTCCACCTGCGGGCGACACCAGGAGCCCAGCGCAGCACGGCAGCTACCGCGGCCGCTGCTGGACACAGGCGCGGATGGGGATGGGCCTGCCTGCTTGACCAGACTCGTCAGGACGCGCGGCAGGTGTGTGTATATGAGTGTGTGTGTGTGTGCGTGCGTATGTGAGCCGGCTTTGCTCTGCACTGCCGGCCCCCACGGGCTGCTCTTGACTGACCTGGGCGGCCCTTGCTTTGCGCCTCCGGGTGGGTCGTCCTTGCTCGCGCCTCGGGCTGTCGCCCAGAGCGTTGTCCTCCCCCTCTCGGTCGTCGGGTCGTTGCCATCGCTCCTCTCTCCTCTTCTGCCTGCTCCGGGTTCGCCCCCGTTTCTGGGTGTCGCCTCCTCTCCGAGTAGAAGATCGGCTACAGAATTGATGTACACTACTATTTCTGTCGAATCTTCGACGAATGCGTAGACTTCCGGTAAATCTACGAACATTCTACGCGCATGCTGTAGATTCGAAGAACAACATCAACTCAGGTGTAAATCACTTCTGCAGTCGATCTTCCACTCGACCTCTGCCCCCTGGCTGTGCTCTTCCAGGTCGTCCACCTCGGTGACAGCGCGGGTCACGCCTCTCGATTCTTGCCGGCGCTTCGGTGGCTCCTAAGCGGCGGGCTGTCTGCCTCTCTGCATGCGCCTGCCCGTCGTGCACGCCCTTTCTTTGCACGCGCAAGCGTCTGACGTTTGCCCTCCCTATCGGCATACGCTCGATGGTAGTCATCCAAGCGCAACCCGCCAGCGTCCTAGTTGAGTTGGATCAGCCAGCCGCGGAGTAGTAGTACTGAATGTATGTATGTGCGTTTCTGTGTGTCTCTGTGTGTATGTGCTCACGCGCCACTGTTCTCCGCCGCTCCCCTCTGCCACCGCCCGCGCAGGGCGGGCAGAAAGCATGGAGGAGCACAAGTGATGGATGCTCACGCGATGCTGGGGGAGGAGGAGGAGGAGGAGGAGGAGGAGGAGGAGGAGGAGGAGGGGGAGGAGGAGGCCAGCAAGAGAGGTGCGCGGCCCAGACGCCTGGGGGGGGGAGGACGGGGAGGGGGAGCGGCAGACTGGCAGACTGGAGATCTACATGAACACGGGTTGCTTTTTTCTTCGACAAGCGCTCGCCTGGCGACGCGCTAGTCACCGCAGTGGAAGTTTGAGTGGGTGGGCGGCCGGCGCCAGCCAGCCTGCGGCAGCTAGAGCGCTGCTGCACGCCCCCCGCTTTGGCTTCCCTGGTGGCAGCCCTTGCGCGGACTGCCGATGCGATCAGAGCCGATCCTCCCCCAGCTCCTTCTGAGCTACCCGGCTCCGCCCCCAGAGATCCGATGTCGTGATTGTTTCCATACGGGGTCTCCGGAAGTCTCGACCCGTTCCCCAGGACCGGTTTTCCATCCCGAGTCTGTTTTGTCGGTCCCGCGGCCCGGCGAGGGCCACGAGAGGCCGAAAGTTGCGAAACACCACCGTCTTGCTTTTTCCCATGCGCTAAATCTCTGGGGGAGGAGGAGGAGGAGGAGGAGGAGGAGGAGGAGGAGGAGGAGGAAAAGGAGGAGGAGGAGGTGGAGGAGGAGGATGGGGGAGGAGGAGGAGGAGGAGGAGGAGGAGGAGGAGGAGGAGGAGGAGGAGGAAGAGGAGGAGGAGGAGGAGGAGGAGGAGGAGGAGGAAGCGGAGGAGGGCCCCTTGCGCGCGCGATCACCCCGCAGGGGTCCCCGGCGCCATCCCCTCCGCCGCCGCGCGGGCGCAGCGCAGCTCGCCGAGGCCCGCCGCCACGCCCTGGACGACGACGAAGTCGAGGGCCAGAGGAGGGGGGCGTGTCTAAGGGCTGTTGTCGGAGCCCCAGAGCGACGACGGGGGCGAATGGTCCAAGAGCGAGCGTTGCGCGCATTCACCAGGGAGCCTCGCCGAAGACACAAGCCATCGGCGCCCTTGGACACACGCACTCGGCTCCCCCATCGCGCCTGGCGCTCGTAACTTGTCTTCCGCGGCTAGGCTGCGCGCACGTGTGGGCCGAGGGGTGCTCCAGCGCCTGCTTGGCAGGATGGCGGCGTTGGCAGAGGCTGGCTGGACCTGTGGTCCCCGAGCGAGCCCACTGCGGCGTCATGGCCAGGGGGGTCCCCAGACCCCCTCGGATCATGAAACAATCACGACGTGAGGTTTTTCTATATGGTCTGCCTCTGGATGCCTTTGCCAGCCCTGTGGGGCGTCAATAAACGATTCAGGATGAGGAACTGATCCTGGGGAATTGGCCGAGAACTCCAGGAGTCGACGTCATGAAAAAGTCAGGACGTCAGGGGTCTGGGTCTCAGGGCAGCCTGGGAATCAGAGGAGGAACCTGTACCCATACCACTGCCTTTCCCGCGTTGTCCTTTTTTTTGTTGGGCCTCCTGGGCGGCCCTCGTCGCCACCGCTGGAGTCGCCTCGAAATTCTGGCCAGAACGCGCCCCAGGAGAGGTCCAGGCAGTAGTGGCATCGGTACCTTTTGGCTTCCCCAGGGGAGCTGCTCATTACCCTCTTCCTTCCCAGCCCCACTGTCTTAGGATGGAGGAGGACGGGGAGGAAGAAAGCAAGGAGAGCGGGGGTCAGCGGACACTGGGGCTTCGCTAGCGTTTTGGAGTCAAAGCTGTGAACATATTTCGATGCACGGTGGAAATGCACACACACACACCTTGTAGCTCACATCCCCCTCTCCAGACCGCCCGCACCCCTTCCCTTCTGTCTCGCCCCGCCCCGCCCTTCCGGCACTGCTGCTGCTGCTGCTGCTGCTGCTGCTGCTGCTGCTGCTGTTGCTGCTCTTCCTCCATTCTTCGCCGTGGAAGAAAGGGGTCCTGAGGCAAACGGGTCCTGAGTCCAGGGGGCTTCACGTTGTGACCACGTCTTCAGCTCGAGTTGCGTTCTGGCGGTCCCCGGAGCCCGCAGAGGGCCCCACGGCGCCCAAGAGCTGGAAAACCTTTCAGGAGCCCTTCCTCTATGGGGCCCGTCTCCTTCATGCCGAACTGCCCGCCTCCTCTCTTGCTCCGTGCTGCCCCCCCCCCCCCCCCCTGCGAGGACGGGCCAACGACGGGCCGCCGTCCCGCGCGGGCCCGATCCGGCTTCCCGCCAGGAGCCAGTTTTTTTACCTAACAGCGAAGACTGATAGGTTTCTAGTTGACTCAAAAGAGCTCACAGATCACTCCACAGGGGGGTCCGGGCAGGCGTTGGGAGTTGCCGGCCGGGCCTGTGCCGGGCTCGCTTTTCACCAACAGTCACACACTTCGTGCTCGTCGACCTCTCAGAACCCCACTCCCAGGCCACATTCTGAATAACCGGATGCAACAGTCACACACTTGGTGCTCCCTGACCTCCCAGAACGCCACTCCCGGGCCACATTCGGAATAGCCGGACGCAACAGTCAAACAATTCCTTGTACTTGACACCCCAGAACTCCATTCCCGGGCCACATTCTGATTAACGGGATGCAGCAGTCACACATTTCGAGCTCTTTGGCATCCCAGAACCCCATTCCCAGGCCACATTCGGAATAACAGGATGCAAGAGTCACACACTTCGTGCTCCGAGACCTCCCAGAACGCCACTCCCAGGCTACATTTGGAAAAATCGCACACAACAGGTATACACGCCGGGCTATCTGGCTGTCTGGAACGGCAATCCCGGGATACATTCAGAGTAATGAGGCAGGCTGAGGCTGAGGCTGTGACTGCGACTGCCGTTGCCACTGCGACTGTCATCGCGAATGCGACTACGACTGCGAGAACAGCAGAATTCTACAACTGGATTCTCATCCGAATCTTAAGGGGAATGCTTCCAGATATGCTCCTACACATCGATGTTAGGTTGCTTTGCCGGGATAATTATCCTCCCGGCGCAACGGGCGTCACCGGAGGGGGGAGGGGCCCGGCGAGCGGGGTATGTCGGAGGCGACGATAGGGGCGACTAGCCCAGGGGGGAGCAATACACGTATCCATGATCTATGTCTTCGGCGAGGCTCCCGGGCGAATGCGTGTAATGCCCGCCCCTGGACTATTCGCCCTTATCGTCGCCGCCGAGTATGGGGATGGTCTGGAGTAGTCGCTGCTGATGCTGGACATTCCCGGACGCTGCCCGCGCCGAGCGTTCCGTTTCGGGGGGTTGGAGGCGCCGGCTCGGGGGCACGGCCCATAGGCCGAACCATGATAGTCGAAATTCGTAGCATCCGCAGATGCGGATCAGAGTGAGGGGGCGGTGGGGACGTCGGAAATCTGCGAGACTCTGGAGCCCGCCGCAGGCGCCACAGTTTCACAAGTTATACAACGAGCCCGCCGCAGGCGACGAGCTTTTCTTCACACCGATGTGGATCGGTCGCAGGTGGGTCGCGGGTGGGTCGCGGGGTAGGTCGCGGGTGGGTCGCAAGTGGGTCGCGGGTTGGTCGCGGGTGGGTCGCGGATGGGTCGCGGGGTGGGTCGCGGGCGGGTCGCAGGGTGGGTCGCGGATGGGTCGCGGGGTGGGTCGCGGGCGGGTCGCAGGGTGAGTCGCGGGTGGGTCGCAAGTGGGTCGCGGGTTGGTCGCGGGGTGGGTCGCGGATGGGTCGCTGGGTGGGTCGCGGGCGGGTCGAGGGGTGGGTCGCGGGGTGGGTCGCGGGGTGGGTCGCGGGGTGGGTCGCGGCAGGGACGAAACAGCAACAACAACAGCAACAACAACAACAGCAAAAAACAAAAAGAGCAGCAACAACAACAACGACAACCATGATAACAGTTTCCTATCGGTTTAGATTTGCCCTATCTATTTAGAGCGGTGTCGATTGATTTAGATCCGCCTATCTAAATCGAGCTTGGTGGTCTAAATAGAGCCTGTGTTTGAGAGCCGATCTATTTAGATAGGTTGCTCTGTAAACAAAAGCCCTACCGATTTAGATCCGTTGATTATCCAAGAGGCCCAACACGGGTGTCAGAAAAGGCCGAACTGGTGTTTGGAGATTTTTTTATGCCGGTCCAGAAGGCTCAACATCGTCTACATGTGGCAGCGGCCAGGGGCTCCTTGTATACATGAGGCAGCGGCCAGGGGCTCCTCGTCTAAGTGGCCCCTCGGCGCGAGGTAGGAGGGAGGGGGGGTATGTCGCCACGGCTGTTTGCGGATCCGATGCACATGTAGGCTCGAGGCTAAGCGCTCGCGCACCGCGCACCGCACCCCCTTGCCCCCCAGGGCCAAGTGCATCAGCGATCTCCAAGCGCTCACGGATCTGTGCAAGACGCACACGCTCAGCATCATCCGCTACCAGGCACAGTGAAGAGGAAACGGTGCGCCTTAACACGGCTTTCCTGGTCGACCTGGCGGCCTTGGCGCCGCGCGTGCCTGCGCCGCTTCCCGCCAAGGCCGCCAAGGACCACTCGCCTGAGCTCTCGAAGCCCGAGCGGGCGAGTTGGGCGAACGCCGCGAAGCAGGCGATGCAGCACTGCTACAAACATAAGGACGTCAAGAAGCTGGCTCCCGCGATTGCCGCCGTCGCCCGCGCGCTGCAGCAACGTGGCCGCGATGGGGGCGCCGACGCTGCCGATTGATGCTCGGCCGTCGGCGGCCCCCGCCAGCAGCGCGCGCGGGCCCGCGCTGCGCAGCCCCCCGAGCGCGAGCGAGATCGCGACAGCGCGCGGGCACAGCGACACCTCGCGCACGCCGATAAGAGCGCGTCGGTTGCCCTGGGCAATCCGAGCCCGAGCTCGAGCGCAGCCCTGACTACGACGAGGATGAGGTTGACGCGGAAGCAGTCGCTCGTGGACTTGCTGACTCCCCCCGCGGCCGAGAAGCCCGTGCCGAAGCGCGCTAGCGTCCGTGAGGTGGACTACAACCGAATGAAGCTCAAGGAGACCGACGACGGCGGGGAACTCAGGGAGTTCGACTTGGCCCTTGGCGAGAAGGGGGCGCGCGTGGCCATCCGCGCCGACGGCGCGACGTGAACGTCGGAGATCACCAACGCTGACTTCGCCGCGTGGAAGAAGAACCCGCCCGTGACTAAGAAGCCGGCCATGAATAAGACGAGCGGGGACAATAAGACGCCCGCAGCGGCGACTGGCGCCTGGCGCGTCGAGGACGAGGACCTGGCCATGACAGACGAGGAGGGCGAGGGCGAGGGGGGGGGGGGGGGGATGGGCGCGGCCGACGAGGCCGAGGGGCCCGAGGAGGACGACGACGCCGAGCACGTCGCACTCGGCATGAAGGGCGCGCCCCCGACGCCCGCGGCCGCCAGGGCGAAGCCCGCGGCCGCCGAGCTCAAGGCGAAGCCCGCGGCCGCCGAGCTTCCGAAGGCGAAGCCCGCGGCCGCCGACCCCGGCAAACTCGCTGACGAGAAACGCCGCGCGCTCGATTGCATGACTGAGCAGTTCGACAGCGCGATGCATTACAAGAAGAGCCACTCCGTGGCTCCGCGTGAAGGGCGGCTCGCAGCTCATCTCCTTCGGGGGGATGCGCTGCGCGGCCAGCAAGGAGCATCTCTCGGACATCGGCCGCCAGGTGAAGGAGAAGCTCAACGCGGGCAAGGTCGGCCTGCAAGAGGCGAAGGAGCATGCGTTACCCAAGCTAGTCTTCGAGTAGGCGCGCCGCTTGCCATTCGTGGTGGGGGTAGTGTAGGACGGCAATGAGACGGGTGAAGACTGCGCGCCGCTAGCCGCTTGGCGCGGACAAAAAAGATGGGGGGGGCGCAGGGGGCGGGAGAGGGGGAGTGGGGCCTTTCGGCCAAGGGGCCCTATGCATGTAGGAAAGTGCAAGGTATATGGGGCGACGCGGGGGCATCTTTAGCTGTTTTGGCCCCAGCTCAGCCCGCGCACCCGCGAGCGCCATGCCAACTCGTTGCGACCTCTGCGGCTCGGTGTTGCCAGATTGGCGCGGTTGGAAATGGCTGAGGCAAGGGGGGGGGGGGGGGGGCGTGGCCGATTCGGACATGCGGGGAGGGGTGGCGGCACCGCTGCTGCTGGAAGTGCCGGCGCGACGTGCGCGGCACCTTGTCGCCGAAGCTGAAGGGCGCGTCGACCGCGGCTGCTGGCGCGACGAGCTGGGCAGGCTCCTCCTTCTTCCTTCGCAGAAGAACATGAATGGATTCTTCCTGCTTCCGTTTAATGCAAAACTCAGGGGTGGGCAGACCTCCTACCCTGACGCGTCGACAAAGGAATTTACCGTTTTCGGTTCGCGAGAGGGCGTCGCGGCCGTCATTTCTGCGGGCCCAGGTCCGTCGGTTTCGGTCCCAGGCAGTTTTCGCTAAAGGGAGTTTTTCTCAAGGGAGGTGCGTCCACCGCCGGAAAACGCAAACGCAACCATGAAGAAAGGCCCCTTCCAGGAGAACCGCGATCAGCCGCCGCGCCGCCTGGATTGCGGAGGCGAGGCGCCCCGAGCTCATGTCCCTCGTGAACGAGCGGCGCAAGGCTTCTGAGCCTAAGGTTGCCGCAAAGTGACTTCCTGCGCCGCTTTGCCATCTTTTTCAGAGAGAAGGACGACGACGACGACGACGAGGTTGGGGGGGGGTGGAGGAGCTATCGGAGGACCAAGGGGGGCACGGGGGGCCCTCGGCTAAGGGGCCCCTTGGGGGAGGGCAGGGGGGCGGGGGTGGGCAGGGGGGGGGGGGGTGGGGGGGGGGGGGGGAGGGGGGGGGGGGGCCTGGAGGGCCGAGAGGCACGGGGGCGCCTCGGCTTTGGGGAGGGCAGGGGGGAGGGGATAGCAGGGGAGAGGTTTCTCTTCCTGTCGCCGCGCGCTCCTCAGCTTTTCAGCCGCGTCGCGCCCGCCCCCTGGCCCCCTCGACGCGGTCCGCCCGGAGCCCGACTGCAGCGATGGGTCGGCCCGCCGTGCTCTGCGGCGCCTTCGGCGCCTTGTGGCTCCGCTGGTTGCTGGGCGGCAGCGCGGGGCAGGTGTTTCCTTTCTACGATCCATCACATTTAATACACAAAGACATAAATACATATTACTGCCAATAAGCAAAAACATTAATACATAAAAATGTCAGGTGGCGACGGCGCCCAGCCCTGCAGCGAATGGTTCAGCGGCGGCAGCCCTGGGCGGAGGGCCCCGCCCACCCGCGCTGCCGCCTCCCCAGAACACGCTGCCCTCCTCAATCTAGCGTCTCCTCGAGGACGCGCCAGACCAGGA